TGAGTGAGAAATGTGCTTGTACAATTTGAATACTTGGTCTGCACTTGGCGGTGCCTTTTGAGAGGTTGTAGGACCTCTAGCAGGTGCAGTTTTGCAGGAGGGAGTGCTTTAATGGAACAAGTGTTGAGAGTTTATAACAAGATTCCTGAAGGCAGGTGTGACGACTGTCTCAGCTTCCTGTTCCCGCAGACACACCTTCCCTGCCATTTTGGACATCTATCCCTCAGGAACTACAAGCCAAATACACTCTTCTTTAAGTTCCTTTTGGTCATGGTGTTTGCTTACAGTAACAGCAACAACAACAAGCCCAGCAATTAACATATACACTCTGGATATAACAAGCATTGTTGTAACAAGTTAGACTTCTCAGTTTTGCATGCAGCAAATTTGGGGATAGGATATGACACTAGCCTGAGTTGATTTTAGAACTCAGCTTGATTATTTCATCTTGATGAAAATGTCACTTAACCCTCTCTTAGGATCACCATTGTACCTCTTTTCTTTTTAGTCCAATTAAGACTAGAAAGTTCTCTTTATGACTTCAGCTACTGATAGTGCGATCTGCAAAAGCCAGGGAACTCTTCATACTGAACCATTCAGACCAAAGCGTGGCTTGAAAACCATGTCGTGACCGGGGCTTCCACAGCAGCCTGTGTAGGCCAGAAAGAAAGCCAGACACCAGGATGTTAGCTGTGCACACTGCCACGCTGCCTTGACTCCACAGTGGAGCAGGCTCCGTTCCTTCAGCCTCAGCCGTGATCATTTCTTTAATTGTTTCCACACACAGTCCTTGCCACTGAGCATTTCCTTCCTTTTCTTTCTGTGTTTCATTTTTAAAAAGAGGAGTAGTATCACACAAGGAACAACAAAACATCTGGATATTCTTACATACACATGTCGGTAAGTGACGAAAACAAGTTGTGTTTGAACGAAATGGTTACAAGCAAGTCACAAAGTAATTATCTTTCTTAGTAAAATGTGATCAATTTGAAAAATATTAATTTTACTTGTGAACCAACAATGATATTTTTTGAAAAAAAATGTTGATGAGAATTATATAGTGTACATATCAAACCCAAAATAAAGGGTCCAATATTGGGTATGCATAAACAATAATAAAGGAAAATACTAGAAAGAACATAAAAGCTCACAGACAAAAGAATGGCTAGTGAATTAAGTCACGTAAACAATGAAACAATGAGTTATTTTGCAGAAACTATCTCATACTAAAATACAGAAACAGTAACGAGGTAACAGGAGCTTTTTAAAGAGCAGGAATGACATTGTTGAATATGCATTAATTATTCAAATGATGGTATACTTATGCATATGATGAACTGGTGGTGAGGTATATCTTCTGTACAGTGTGTTCTGCCCGTGCTTAAAGCTATCCCAGGACCTCTGCACTGAAGGAGAGTGAGGCTGGGGGCAGATGAATAGCAAAGTTACTGAAGGGAGGAATCAGAACATAAACCAAAGCAGTCTTGACAAAAATATTTCTGTTTATTATATCCACATATGTCCCCATTTCATAGAAGATCCTGTGTTCTAGATCTGAAATAGGCAAACATGGTTTTATCACTCAGAAGGAAACCAATACTTTAAGTGACATATCAGGAGAATGCATTCACTATTCTAAACCTTGTTTCCTCCATGATGTAGGACCATAAACATAATCTCAATGAGTAAACTTGGCAAAGAGCATGAAGTGTGTGCGTGTGCACAAAAGAAGACTCTGTCTCCACCTTAACTTTTGAGAGAGGGTCTCCCACTAAACATGACATCATCAGTCTTTGCCAGGCTGAATGGCAGCAAATTCCTGGGATTCTACTGCCTGCCTTCCTGAAACCCAGTGTTAAGGTTACAGGCATTCAGAACATGCCTTGTTTATATGTGGGTGCTGGGATCTGAATTCAGGTCCCCTTGATTTCAAAAGCATTCTTACCACCTAAGCCCTCTCCCCAGCCTCCACCTCAGGTCTTGAAACAAAGTCTCTCCCTGACCCTGGAGCCCACAGTTCCAGCCAAGGAGGTCTGCAGACTTTTCTGAACCATGTCAGTTTTGCAAAGTTAATTCACTTAGGAATATTTAATACTTCTCTCTTGTAATCACTGTGCTGGATGCCGGCACAGTGGCGAGTATAATAATCTAGGTGGATTTTTTAAAAGTTACTAAAGTGTCTTTAGAGGATAAATTGGCTGAGAGAAGACAAGAAGTATCAGCAGTGAACAACAATCTCAGGTCACACATTCCGCTGTTTACTTAGAGAAAGCGATACTGCATTTGTTTTAAGCATGCACAAAACCTCACCGTACAGTCTGCAGTAATCAGATGAAAAGTCATTGGTTTTCACATTTTTTTCTTTTGAAGGGTGATGTATCTTCACTGTTCTGCCGGTAGAACTAGAGTATCTGAATCCTGTGCAGAAAAGCTGTAGAAAGGATTCCCATCCCTCTTAGCTCCATGCTTCACTGCTAGTGACCGATTCTCCAGGGTTAAGTCTGTGCATTTCAAGCTCCACTGTCTTCACAGCGGAACGTTCACACCTTACTTCTTCCTTACTCTTCCTCAGTTAGAGCATTCACTTTTACTCAGCTGTGTAATAAATCCAAATAAATCAGGACATACCCTTTCATTTTCAAAGTATCTAGCTCTGGGGTATGGAATGCTAATGAGTCTTATTTATCATAAAAAGGTATAAGAAGCCCTTGGGAATGATGATGGATCTATACCATTAACACTATGAGCCTAAACGAACTGAATCCTGACAGGACGGCCCTCCAAATCTGAGGACGGAAAGCCATTTCTTTGCCCTAGAAATGAGCACAGACACCAGAGCAAAGACTAAACCAAGGAGAAGTTGAGTCACCACAATAAAAAAATGGTGGAAACGGGCAAAATGAACACCTTACACCACCCACTTAAACTGAGTGGATTTCTTTATCTTTTGGAGACAATTTCAAGGCAGGAGATTGCTACGGGTGATCTGTGTTCAGTGACTATCACCAAGGAGAGGCATCTCATTTAACAAAATATATCATCTGATTCTTTTCTGTAATAATTAACACTTGTTTTCTTGGCTCCAAAAACTATAAGTAAACCTGATCCATGGGCCCTAAATACAGTCCTTAAGTTTATGAATCAGTAAATAAATCTATGTTGCTACCAGTGGGCTGATTTCTGCTTTAGCTCACGCTAACGGAAGAAACAGCTTCATAACAGTGACTTAAGAGGCCAAACTTCCCAGTCACGTTCTGTGATGGGTATGAATTACCCTTTGATTAGTAATCAGTGTTGTAATGCATGTTCCACGCCTAACTGCTACTGTTACTACGACAGACTTTTCGGAAACGCAAACAAAGAACCAAGAGATTCACAGTTTGCAAATTCTTTAATGCATAAAGCACCTTTCAGTTCTGAACCTGTGAGGAGAGCAGAATCTTCATGGTAGGAGTAAATATATATTTCACTTTTAGTCAATTAAATGGTTTTCAGAAAGGTTCAACACCCTCAAAACCAGTGTGCCTGAGCGCCGAAAATGCAGATGGAATCCAGTCTCAGAAACGTTTATCAACTAAGGTTTCTCTTTATCTGTGATAGACAACCCTTGATGGTCAGAATCCAGCTGCAGGCTCTCCCTCCCCCGCTTAAAGAGACGGAAAGAGACAGCTAAAAGCTTGCAAAGTTCTCCAGACAGGACTTAGAAGGATAAATCTACTGAAGGGGCAGTAGGGAGCAAGGAGTGTTGGAAGCACTATGCCCTGAGGCAGGGGCAGGGTTCCCAGGTGACCAGATCTCTCAAATGAGCCTGCATGGCCGGCTCTCAGGGGAAGAGGAACAGGATGGTCTAGCGCTGGCATCTGTTAAACCAGGTGACCCCTGTCCAGCCTCTGAGTGAGTGGCCCGGACTGCCTGGGGATGGGCAGCGAGCAGTCCCCTGCTGGCTAGCCCGGAGCGGATCCCCACCCGCTGCTCTGTCCTTCTGCTACCCTCAGGTCCTCCGACATTTTTCACCAAGACACAGTGGTAGGGAGAAGAGGAGACAAGAGGGAAGTGTCTGCACCCAGCCTCTGCGGCAGCCCAAGAAAAAAGAGGAGGAGGAGGCGGTGGGAGAGGCAGCTAGGAACTGTGATCCACCCATAATCAGGAGGACCAACTCCCGCAGCAAGGGAGTCTGCGATGCACCCACCAGGGCAGCGGCTGGGGGTTGGGGGCGTTCCTGGTCCTCGCCCCCCTCGGCCCCGACCCGGTGCCCTGCACATCAGAACTCGCTTTCTCTGGGCTAAGGGCTGGGGGAGGAACAAAAGAGACTCTCACCTTCTGCCCAACACACACAGTGTGTGTGTGTGTGTGTGTGTGTGTGTGTGTGTGAGAGAGAGAGAGAGAGAGAGAGAGAGAGAGAGAGAGAAAGAGAGAATGAGAGAACAGCTGCTCAAGGTATTTGTAAAGCCATCATCTGCACCTGAATCGCTTATTTTCCCTAAAGGCACCCTGAGATACAGGGGAAATGACACCATCCGAGATGGTCCGTGCCTGAGACACTGTTCCTTTCACCTTTGCCTCCACCAAACAGCCACGAAAAGCCCGGGGTGCCCGAGCCCCTGCGCGCTCCCCCCTCCCGCCAACGCAGCGTCCTCTCGCTCCCAGGTCCCTGAAGGTGCTGAGATTTCTCCCTGTGGGAGCCGCCACCGGGCAGGAGAGCGGTCCAGCCCCTCCGCAGAGCCGGGGACGCGAGGGGACCGAGCCCCGCGGCGGACCACGCGGGTTTCAACTTCACGGAGCCGCGGGGCGGTGCTGCCCGCCGAGACCCGCACACCCCACTGCCCCAGCAGCCGGGCGGCACGGGCGCCCCCTCCGCCCCCTCTTTCCTGTACCTCCCCCTCGTCGTGGAAGGGGAAGCAAAATGAGAAAAAAAAAAAAATCAAACCCACCCATCAGTGCAAAGCAGACATTTTTATGTCATTTCTCACCCTCTCCGGGATTTAGAGGTCGCGTCTTACCGGGGGGGCCTGGGGTGTGGGCGAGCGCACCGCGGTCGGGGTCCGAGGGCGCGCGAGGCTGGGCTGCTCCGTCCTCTAGCAGAGCCGGCTCGCTGCCATCCGCCCAACTTCAGCACCGGGCGAGGGAGAGAGGGAGACAGGCCGGAGCGGCGCGCGGAGGGAGGAGGCTGGGGTGGGCGGGGAGGGAGCGGAGCCGCTCGCGGCGCATGCGTCCCGCAGCCCGGCGCAGCCCCTCGCCCCGCGCGGCCGGAGGTGAGACGTCCTCCCCTCCCGCGGGCGGGCGGGCGCGCGGCAGCGTGAGTCACCGCCGCGTCCCTGCCCGCGTGCCCGCCCGGCACCGAGCTTTCGGGGTCCGTGTCCCGGTGCCAGGCGGCTCCGGCCGACACCGGTGGGGAGGTTCGGGGCGCGGGGGGCGGGGGGTGTCCTAGAGAGGACCCTCCAGGTTCGCTCTCACCCACATCCCACGCAGCGTTCTCCTGGTCCCTGGCATCAGGTCTGCAGGTGTTTTGGGCACTCGGTGCGCCTTAGCCTCGGGCTAGCCTCGGCTCTCTTGTCTGGGGTGTATGGGGGCGGGGGCGGAAGGAATTCAAGGGAATGTAAAGTTAAGTAAGTTTGAGTCTTTTTACCTTGTCGTTGTCCTACCCAGAAATACCCAAGTATCCTGCAGGCACTCTCCTTAAATGCACCCTTTGGGCCACTGGAGCTGGGGTTTTCAGTGACAGAAACGCAAACCAAAGCAGGAGTCAAAAACTCTTAGCCGGGAGTGGACACCTGGGGCCTAAAGCGTCCTTACAGGGCCACTTGGCAGTCACAGGAACTGCTAATCTTTCTGCAGGCCGCAGAGCCCAACTCCATGGTGAAAGAACCTCAGGTGCTTAATGCAAGCACTAGATTGTGAGTCCTGTGATTAGGCTCAAGTGTTTCTGAGGGGAGCAAGGAAAGCGGATGTCTTTCTCTTTAGATTCCACATCTGTGGAAAGAGGAGAGAGTTCCCGCAGGAATGTTTAGGTTCTTTCCTTACACCTAATTAGAACCGAGAGATTGTAGACATATATGACGGCCCCCTGCTGGGGTCCTCCTGTATGCATACCTGGTGTTTCAGCCCACTGAGCGCTCTTGCCCCACCCACTTCGATTAATGTAACTCAGGGTCCTTTTCCTCCAGCTACACCTACTCTATGGATTTGGATACTAATGTCCTGAAAACTGCACTCCTTGGATCTGCAAACTCTGCCGGTCTGTGATGAGAAATAAATACAGAAATGGAAAGCGAGATTTAGAAAAAAAAAAAAAAAAGCGGCGATTTACCATTGCCATAGCATCCGAGTGCTTTAGTTGGTTTTATTTGGCATGCTTTATCTTAAGGGTAATTCGTTTGTGTTGTTGCTGGAGATTACGAAAGTTTACCTTAGTCCATTATGGCTGCTCTAGCAAAATATCACAGAATGGGTGACTTACCTAACTTGTCGCAATACTGGAGAGTGGGAAGTACAAGGTCAGATTTAGTTCGATTGGCTTCTTAAGAGGGCCTGAGTGTTGGCGCAGGTACTGCTTTCTCCTCGCATGCATGCTGGAAGACAAGCCCTCTGGTGTGACACTTACCAAGACCGCTACATCCATGCACAACCCTTGATCCAAGTGATTAGATCATCACTTATCTAATCTCTTTCACAGCCAACACCTCTCATTGCGATTACTTTGGGAGTGCAGGTTTCAACATGGAGGTTGAAGAAGACAGGCATTCTATATTATTGGTCCATAATAGACAACGAGAAAAACCATTTCTTCAGGATAATGTTATGAGTAGCAGTGACTCCCTCTTTACACGCTCACTCGTTTACCTGTATCTTTTTTCTTAGTAGCCAATGAGCTTCTTCTAATCCACCTTAAGTGAAGAATTTTAGCCATTAATCATTCTTGAACAGCTAACTTTACTTCAACAGCTATCATTGTTAATTTTTATTGAGCAATTACTTCATGCTTGACACTGGCCTAAATTCTTTTCATGTGTTTCCTATTCTCTCTTCACAACCCCAAAAGGTAGCTACTATTATTACCACGTTTAACCGGCATCTCAGAAGCTGAGCGGCGGAAATCCACCCCCTCCAAACCTGTTCCTCCTTGGATTGTTCAACCCAGTTACTCAATCCAAAAATGTAGAAGTCATCCTTGCCTTGCCTTCTTGCTTTCAGCCTCATCCAGTTAATTAGCAAGTCATATTTCCTCTACCTCAAAAATATGTCCAACTCGTACACTCTGTTCCCGATCCACTGCTGTAGCCTGGATCCAACCTGCTATCCTCTCTCACCTGGACAACTCAAAGCTTCCTGTTTGGATTCCTTGTCTTTCTCCCCCAGACACTCCAAATAGCAGCTTAATGATCTTCTAGAAGCATACACATCATGTCATGAGCCTGCTTAAAATCCTCCAGTAGTCTTCCTTGCATTTTAAATACAGCCCATGATCCATCCCCTAGCTTGGAAGGTTCTGTTCAATATCCTTCAAGCTTTATTTGCTGTTTCTTGCTTCCGGGGTCCATAACTATAAGCGTTCTAGCTGCAGAGAGATGTCAGCATATGGAACCTGTTGTACTTCCTTCCTGGAATCCTAAGCGTGCAGTTTCTTTCACAGGGGATTATTTAATATCATGGAGGCATCTGCTCCTACCAAAGCCGGATATGACCAACTTGTAAACTGTTCCAATGAGGGAAGTAGTTCTTTTCTATTAGGAAAGATTCCCTTATCTTGTTTTATTTTTATTAAGGAAATGCTTTTTCAATATCCAAATAAGTTGTTTAGTCTCTACCTCCCTGCCCCATTCTAGAATAAAGTCTTCTAAGACTTCACTTTCACTATTTTCATCTCTGGGGTCCAGTGCAAGATTTGTCATATAATATCAACTTGGTGAATATCTATTGAAAGAACAAATTAACGATTGAATAAATCACAAACCTAGGGAAAGTGTTTTTGTTTTGTTTTGTTTTGTTTTTTTTTGGTGTTTACTGATGGTTCTAATTGCTTCTCAACAGAGTCTGTTGTTTCTATACATATACAAATAGGCTATAAACTCTTTCTTCTGCCCAACTTATAAAGATGGCTCCACATGGCACACATTTAAACTATCTGCAAGGTTCAGGCTCCACCAACAAATCTTAAAACATGCATCCGCCCACCCCCACCCCTGGTATCAAGAATTAAACCTATAGTCTACAGTATGCTAGGCAAGAGCTCTACTACTGAGCATTTCCAGCCTTCTTTTTATTTCTGAGACCAAGTCTCACTAAGTTGCCCAAGCTGTCCCTGAACTCACTCTGTAACATAAGTGTACCTTGTACTTGCAATCCTCCTGCCTCAGTCTCCCAGGTATCCGGTAAAAGACCTGTGCTATACTATATATTTGTTTACTAAAGTCAACTATGAAATCTCTGTCTCTGTCTCTGTCTCTCCCTGTGTGTGATTTTTTTTTTTTTTGTGATGATTTATACATCAGCCAAAATATTTAGTGATAACGTTTTAGGGACAGGACACGGTGACTACCATTTGGGAAATGGCAAAATAGTTGGTCAAGTCCAATCAGAGCCTTCATAATCTTCATCTTATACTCAGTCTCTGCTTATATCTTGGTCTCAGCAAATATCTGCAACTAGCTTTACATCATGGTACCCAGGTCAACATCTCAGTAAATGTCCATTAACATCTACTAATTGCTCACCTTTGTCACCTTCTTTTTGAAAAGTTGTCATTATGCTATGTAATTATTCGAGGTGAGTCAGAAATAAATTGCCGTTCATTTTGATAGCAGGGACACCTGCTGTACTGTTCATGTAGACCCCAGAGTCTATTTGAACTTATCAACAACAAACATTTGTGTGGTAACTGTGAAAAACAGAATCTCATCATGAATATCTCGAGGCTGCAACAGATGGGTTTTTTAAGTAGCGGAAGCCTGGGTACAGCAGTTTTGATATAATGTTTTCATAATAAAGTAAGAAATTTACAGACAAGATATTTGCAGATAAAAGATACTGGAAAAATAGGCATCTTCATTACATACACTTATAGATATTTGTCTTCATTAAAAGTGGAAGTCACCTCAGTAAGTGTGGTACCCTTAAAAGTGTGTTCCATTTTATTCTCTTTCCCACATATTTATCTGCAAGCAATCACTTTATCCTTACAAGGAACAGAGAAAAGAAAAACACTTAAAATTTAGGAAGTTGTGACTGCTCCATCCAGGTAAATGTCTAAAGAAGCTTGGGGAGGTATCAGAGGACTCAAAACTAATGGACACATTGCCTACCATGCTCGTCAAGGAGCTTACAATGTTTCTTCTTACAGTGTTTCTTCAACTGCTTTTAATCCAGCTTTTAAGACGGGCTCTTTCCAGAGAACAGTGTAGAAACCCCGTGTTTCTTTATGAACACTTGAAAAAAAAAAGTGACATAAAGGGAGAAAGAGAAAAAGAAATAAAAAGCAGACTGCCTCCCAAGTATGTAAAATAGAATGTAGTTTAATATTTCGTCCATAATTTATTTTCTTACTGTTCATTTTTTACTAAAGTTGCCTGAATTGCTCACCTTGCCTCAGTTGGGTTGAAAATCTCCGTGTTATTACTTCAGACTAGCAATGAAGAATTTGTAGCTCAGGTAACTTAGAAGTCATGTAAATATATGCATGAACATCTCCATGTGACTTCTGTTGGTTGCAGCCAAGTTCATATAAGATGAGCAAGTTGCCTTTGAGACTGTGATGTCCAGGCTCCAGGGCTGGAAAAGAAGGAGATTATGGGCAAGGTAGACGGCAGCTGGTTTCCCAGGCACAGATAGGTAGACCCGGGAATACCCAAGTCCCACAAGGGTAGGCACAGGCAATACTCAGACCAACACACAGGCCTTATGGAGTTAGCCACTCAGGCCTGTAGAATGACACACACAGGCAGGCTGATGAAGGCTCTAGAACTTCCCACCTCAAAAGCATAACTATGTAGAACCCACACAGAAGTGGGGCTCTACCAAAAAAGTTGTGTAACAGATTATATCACTGGGTCCTTGGGGTTCCTTAGACATTTAGTGTCAGCCATTCTGTGCTGATTTACAACTCCCTGGGTGTCTGATGTCAGCCATGTTTTAGCTGACTCATACCAGATATCCATATCAGCACAGT